AGAACCGTCGAACGTGTCTTTTTTTGTCATTAACCCTCGCCCTGGCAGGGCATTTTTCATAACACGGCCTGGCAGGGGGGGGGGGGGGGGTCGATGCGACTCCCCTCGCGATTGACTCCTATGGCACCTAGAAGCACCAAATTTGGTAGGTAGGTGGGCCCTCCGAAGTTCTCGCCCCTGTGCAAATTTGGTTGTTCTAGGGCTCTAGGTCAATATTTGGGGGGTTTTGAGGGTATAAATGTAAAAATTTCGCTAAAAACAGGTCAAAGGTTTTTCACTTATACCTTTTAATCTAATTAAGATAGAGTGAAAAGAAAAGCATCGGTGAACTCAGCACGTCAAGGCGCGTCGAATGATATGCTTGTTTGCTTGCATAAGTGTACTTAAAGTTTTTCTTAATTTCTAAGTAAACTTTAATTAATTAATTAATTAAGTTCAAGTTAACCAAATTGCATCATATTGCATATCATTCGATCCGGCTGATCACCAGGAACACAATGACACCATTTTCTAAGCTCTAGCGTTATTAAGTGCCAAGTTATTGGCAAAAACGTCATTTGACCTCAGTGGACCTCATTTGACCTGACCCATGGATGAGCACACCAAACAAAGAAGCACCAAGTGACCTGCTGTTAAGAACTGTGGTTTCAAAGCACAACAGTGATAGAACGAAGCGGATATCTCCAGGATTTTCCGAATTTAGTATTTTCCCATGGGCTTAACATTACGACGTAATGACCTCTAACTGACCTCAGGTCAGTGACATAAAAAACCCGAACTATGTATATGTTATACAACTCGGTGAACTTAGCACATCCTGAAAGTTTGAAGGAAATCAGTTCAAAACTGTGAGTTGGACAGGTGCAAAAAGAAAAATGGAATTTGACCATGACCTTGTACCGGTTTTTCTGACCTGGTGACCTGACCCAAGGTCACCCGGACCTGAAATTTTCAGGTCATATGTAAAAAGGTTGCTCCATAGGCTGTGCCAAATTTAACGGCGCTGCGCGCCGCCGTTTTTACGCTATCTTCGAAAAACCTTAGGGGGGGTCGCATCGATCCCCCCCCCCCTGCTAGAGCGAGGGTTAAATACCAGTAGGTATGCAGCCCCCTCAGATGCCAGTCAGATATGAGTGCAAAATGCCGCCCCTAATTGTGATTGCCGACCCAGTGAAAATCCCTTATAATACGCCCTGGTCTATCGCAAAGTGCCTGATTTGCGACACAACTTACGAATTTGAAATAGCAGTCGTAAGTTGTGTCGCAAGTTGATATGGCCTTGAGGGAGAGGTCACAGGTCACAGGTCATTGGGGTCATGGTCACGAAATTTGCATGGTACGTGTAAAATTGTTCAAACTTGAGATCCTGAAAATTTCGTTGCAATCCATTGCCGCTAACGCGAGTTATAAAGCAAGAACTAACGGTTCGTCTATGAGGCCTCAATCCGCGCCAGCGAGAGTGTTGAACATGGTGCATAATAATAATAATAATAATAATAATACCGTTTATTTCATGCCATCAGAGGCACATAACACAAATACAGACAGTCACCAACACAAATACATACCACAGAGAGACACTGAACATTCCAGCTCGTTCGTGTTCATAGGCTAACCATTTTCGACAATGCGTTTGAGTGCTGAGCTAAAAACATTTGACACATCCGCATGACTCACAGAGCTCAGATCCAGCTGCATGAGACGGTATTCACGGCGAATGGCACCATGCAAGGTAGCCATAATGCCTGTTCTGCCAACCTCACCATCAAACATAGTGCGTATGATAGCATTATCACATGATAATAGACGTATGTAAAACAGAAGCTGCCTATACGCCACATACATTTTGCAAGGCAGAATGGACAGTGCCTGGCATAGTGGATGATTCCTTGACGATTTAGGTACACCTACTAATTTCTTGATGCAAGAGTGATAAGCAACACATAGTTCACGAAAGGCCTTCTTATCACTCATCATATCCCAGAGCTCACAGCCATACATATTTGCACAATATGAGCGAAACAACTTCACCTGAATTCCCTTGTAGGCGTCTCCAACAAGAGAAATAAGCATATTTGTATTATAATATAAGGTACGTTTGATCCTACGCATGTCAGAGCCATCGCCAAGCTTATTATCAATTATGTGACCCAAGTATCTAAACTGATTAACCCAGCTAAGGTTACCGCCTCTGAGAGTTAAGACCGGTGGCTTTGAGTCCGACAAGTGAGCGGATGGGTATGAGCGATGCGGAGAGAATTCCATGCATACAGTTTTCTTTACATTGAATTTCAGGTCCCTGGACAGTGCAAACTCTTCGCACTTGTTTACTAATTTCTGCAGCCCTGCCCTCGATGGCGAGAGCAGGACAATATCGTCTGCGTAAGCCAGAGCATTCACAGGCTGACCACCAATATGACAGCCAACATTCATTGCCCTCAAACTCTCAAGGAGTTCATCAATATAAACACTAAATAACAGTGGAGATAAGTTTCCACCCTGTCGGACACCATTTGTAACAGAGAAAGAGGACGACACACTATCAGCCCATTGGACTCCCATTTTTTGCGACCTGTACCATCGAATAAGAAGTTTAAGATAAGGCAAAGGTGCTCCTCTTCCAGCTAGAATTTGGAAAAGCTTCGAATGACAAACTCGATCAAACGCTTTGCTTGCATCTAAAAAAACAAGCATATACAGGACTTCCCTGTTTTGTGTAAAAGTGGACCGTTTCTTTAAGAACAAGGGCTGCATGTGTGGTTGAGCTCCCTGGCTTAAATCCCAACTGAGCATCGTTCGTTTGCAAATACGGCTGTAAACGCTCCACTAAAATAAGTTCCAGAATCTTTGAAATTGTGGTGGAGAGGGCAATAGCTCTATAATTTGTTATATTCTGTTATAATATATTATATTCTGTTATAATATGTTATATTCACATTTATTGGGGTATTCAGGGATATGAAGTAGCCTAACACCATTCCAGCAACTACTGGCGAATCCAGAAAGGCGGTCTTGGACGTTGCGAGGGGCATCCCCCAAAAGATTCTCCAAATTCTAAAACCGATGTGCCCCAGATGACCCCCATGACCTCGAATTGATCTCTGTGATGACCCCAAGTTGACCTCTGTGACCTGACGTGTCCCAGATGACCTCCAATTGAGCTCTGTGATGACCCCAAGTTGATCTCTGTAACCTGACGTGTCCCAGATGACCTCCGTGACCTCTAATTGAGCTCTGTGATGACCTCAAGTTGACCTCTGTGACCTGACGTGTCCCATATGACCTCTGTAACCTCTAAGTGACCTCTCTGATGACCCCAAGCTGACCTTTGTGACTTGACGTGTCCCTGATGATCTCAAATTGAGCTCTGTGATGACCCCAAGTTGACCTCTATGACCTGACGTGTCCCATATGACCTCTGTGACCTCTAAGTGACGTCTCTGATAGCCCCAAGCTGACCTCTGTGACCTGACGTGTCCCAGATGATCTCAAATTGAGCTCTGTGATGACCCCAAGTTGACCTCTGTGACCTGACGTGACCCATATGACCTCTGTGACCTGACGTATCCCATATGACCTCCAATTGAGCTCTCTCATGACTCCGTGCTGACCTCTGTGACCTGACGTGTCCCAGATGATCTCCAATTGAGCTCTGTGATGACCCCAAGTTGACCTCTGTGACCTGAGTGTCCCATATGACCGCTGTGACCTCTAATTGACCTCTGATAACCCCAAGCTGACCTCTGTGACCTGACGTGTCCCAGATGACCTCCAATTGAGCTTGTGATGACCCCTAGTTGACCTCTGTGACCTGACGTGTCCCAGATGACCCCCATGACCTCCAATAGAGCTCTGTGATAACCCCCAAGTTGACCTCTGTGACCTGACGTATCCCAGATGACCCATATGACCTCCAATTGAGCTCTGTGATGACCCCAAGTTGACCTCTGTGACTTGGCGTGTCCCAGATGACCTCCGTGACCTCCAATTGAGCTCTTTGATGACCCCAAGCTGACTCTTGTGACCTGACGTGTCCCAGTTGACCTCCAATTGAGCTCTGTGGTGACCCAAAGTTAACCTCCGTGACCTGACGTGTCCCCAAGTTGACTTCTGTGACCTGACGTGTCCCAGATGACCTCTGTAACCTCCAATTGTGACCTCCAACTTCAACTCTCTTACCTCTCTGTGACTTCAAACTCACTGAACTCATTTCTTCTAAAGCATCGCTTCTAGATGCTCTTTAGCCACGAATTTCCTGTGATCGATCCCAAATTTTATGGCAAATCACGTGAGCGTTAGCGATCACAAGTCACCCCGTTGAGACAAAGCTTCAGAATCAGAGAACATGCTTGACCTGGCTGTCTCATAAGCTTGCAAACCAGAAAGACGAATGTTCCGTTATGCGTGATAGAGTTTTCGACCTTACTGACGTTTACTACGGGATCAGCTGATCGTGTAGCCTTTTAAATTCTCGAGTAAAGCGGGTATTTAAGCCTCGTCGTAGCTGCGTTCTGTCCTATCCTCCGACAAACCCCTCTTTCCTCAACATCCCTCCTTTTTCGCTACGACACAGCTTGCGACGGGACATGTGTCGTAACTTGCGACGTGTCGTAGATGGACTTGCGACGCCCTGGATCCCCCCGGCCCAATATTGCCTCAGAAGTCAGAAGGCTCTATGCCGTTGGTCTTGAAGGCCTGCGTGCTGGCCTTTTTAGCGCCACACGCCCCCCACGTTTGACCTTTTAGGGTCCCCAAAGCGGCCTCTGAGGGCCCATGCTAGCCTCCGAGGGCTCATCCTGGGCCTCCGAAGGCCCTACGCTGGCCTCTAAAGCCATCGGTAGAAGCCTAGGTATAGGTATGTTTAGGCAAAAATTTGGTATACCTTTGCACGTCACATACGGTGTAGACGGTGTATGTATGTTACGTGGTGTCATTCTGAAGTCTGGTTTGCCCCCTCCCTGTCGAAATTCCTTAGCCGAGGCCCTGGGCCGCACATTGAAATGAATGGTCCAGTAAGCGTCACTTAACTCGTGCACCAATAGGCCGTGAGTTTTACAGCATATGAGGTATACGGGTACCTATGCCATTGGGAGGTATGTGTGACGTTTTTTTTTGTGCCGGCCGGGTTTGCAGGCGTCTCATGGTACGGTGTGCAGGCTAGGGACGTCCCCGCAGCAGCTGGCCTTCCACCTCTACCGCACGCTGGCCACCGTACTCGCCAGAGACTATGTGATGACCCAGTTTGCCTATATGCTGCTTCGACTCTTCGATAAAGGTACACCCGGTGACATAAAATAGTGGTAAGTTGTTACGAAAAGATGATGAGGTAAAAATGTGATGCATGGATGTAAGCAGCCAAAATTGGCATTTCTTTGTTGTTGTTGGGTTAGGCTCTTTCGGTCTGACGGGACCGTTTCAGTGCCGAAAGGATGATAGGAGTTAGGGGGAGACATCGGTCTGGGCGGGCATCCTGGTACTTCGCCGCATCACGTGGACAGGCTACCCACACCCAGCCTGCTGACACTCACCGCACGCGGCTCCGGACCTGCTCATGGCGTGGGGTGAACCACATGGGATTGAGTTGCCCGTCCAGTCCGGAACAGGCGGGGTGAAGGCATTGATAAGGATTTGACTTTACTGAGAATGGAAATGACTGAACGGATCTAAGAAAGGGACACTCGGTGCAGGTAGTATGAAAACCCTGAAGCATAGATAACATGAATCGTTATCATGTTATCTATTCAATGTTATCAATTCAATTCATGTTATCAATTCATGTTATCTATGCCTGAAGAAATCAGGATTAACCCTATTAGTGGCAGGCTCCTGGCTACCCCTATTAGTGGCAGGGGGGGGGGGCTGTTTACGACCCCCCCTTGATATCTCGAGATCTAACGGGCCGATTTTCAAAATTGAAACGGCATTCGATTTCGCTCAACGTGATCTACATTTCTAAAAAATAAAAATTAAAAAATGTCAATAGGGGGGGGGGGGTAGAGGGGGGTCAAAACGGGCAAATTGCAGATACATTTTAGACTGTTTATCACGGCCAGGTTTCTGAACCAATCTTAACGCAACTTTTGCCGATCGATAATGAACCAGGAATTCACATGGATCCTAAAAATATGCATTTTCAAAAATCATAGGCGGATACAGATCATTGAGATTGGGGGTACACAAAAAGTATAGTAAATAAGGTTTTTGTTGGCACTGTTTCTAAAAAGGGTGGTAATGGTCTTGTTATGTTACAATTTTCTTATGAGAGAACGACTACAATTGTATTGGTCATGCATAGGCGGTGTCAGGGCACCTATGTTGGGAGGCAAAACACAACCCCCCTTTTTGGACGCCTGGATCCGCCTATTATAGCAAAAACGTGTCAGAAGAGGATGCACAATAACTGTATATGTTATCACATGATACCTTTCATTCACTGTTCGTAAAACTGGTGCAGCATCGTGATCTTCGCCCAAATGACTCGCTTCACGAATAGGACCCCCCAATTCCCAGTGCTCTGGAGCCGCCCCTGGTAAAGTTATGAACTTGAAATTTTCAGGGAATGTGCCCAATTTAGTTTTAGGAAAAGTCAGAAAATTTCAGCATCGTAGCTTCAGCGGTTTCGGAGATATTCCCGAAAAACCTGAGGGGTGGATGAAACCCCCCCCTGCCACTAATAGGGTTAAAGGCTAAAACTATGCTTATTCCGGCAACCATCCGCTGAGACCATGTCGATGGATCAAACTGAAAATAAGGAGCCCGCACTACGTAGGTATGGTGTACTTGCAGGCTCGTTTGTGGTCGAAGCACAGCATTTCACCGACACCTACAAGGCCACCTCTGCCAAACTGGTGGAGGAGGCCAGCCTGGCGCTGCGGACTGCCCTGGACTCGCTGTTCTGGCGCTGCGACCCTGCACTCCACCGGCGCGGCGCCACCTTCGAGGAGGTCACGGCGCTGCTCCAGGGCTACATGGAGAATGAGGATTTTCTAAAAAGGAAGAGTGACTGGGCTCTCGAAGATAGCTGCTACTCATACTGCTCCGACTTTGACATCACGAGTTCAAAGGTCAGTTACGGAGAAGCGAGCCAACTCAAATTCCGGTCAGCAAAGCATCGCCCAATCGTGGCATGGGGCATAAACCAGCCCGCCTCCCCCGAAATAAAATGTTTTTTTAATTATAATATTGATCAAAAGGTATAAAAGTTGACTAACCAAAAAAGGTCTGGCTCTCCAAAGCGCGAACGTTAACGAGAAACGAAGTGGCAAACACAAACGAGCAGAGCTCTGAAAGCGCTTTCCGCGTCGCTGGTGTACTCGATGTTCTAGATACCCAGCTGTGGCGTTCTGGGATTAAGTCTCGCTGTTTTTTCAGTGCCAGTTTGCCGACAATTTGTCACACGAGCTCTGCAAGCAGCGTTCGTGCGGCGGTACGCTGCACGACTGCCGCTTTGTCACGGCGAAGGCCACGCTGTGCGAGGCTGACCCCAGAACGGGCCGGCGGTACAACTGGATCCGGGACTCGGACGGCCGCGTCTACGGACCGAAAGGGGACAACGCGCTGGGCAGCTGCACCGGCACCTCCAATGTGAGCCACTCTCTGCACCGGCGGCGGGCCGGTTTGCTTGTTTGTTTGTTTGTTTTTTTTTTTATTCACTTGTTAGTGAAAATACCTAATATATAACTAATGAAAACCCTAAGCCTCATACTACACCTTTTTGCATTAGCTTTTGACCACTAGGCAAAACATTTGTACACATTCGCCATATAGGTGGCGCTACAAATGGGCGGTTGGTCACAAAGAATCACCATTGTGCAAAACTATTCGGCGATCTTCCTCTACAACTCGACATTGGATGAATGGTTCAACATTGTGCAAAACAAATCGTCAATGGTCGAAACTTTTCGTCATATGCCGAGCTGGCTCCCTGTATGCCGAAGTCTGGCGAACTGTTAAACTGTTTTGCAGATCGCTCATTTCAGTGTTCAATCTATTTTGCTAAATGGCTGAAATGAAACACACCACGCCGGAATAGTTGTGCTCAATACCGATTGTCGAAATGGCTCCTCAAACAGTTATGGCCAATTGTTGAATTCAATTGCAAAAAGTGTAATAATTGTATTCAAAATAGGGCCAAGAAAATAAGACTTATTATATGTCTTATTTTCTTGGCCCTATTTTAAATACAATGATTAGCAGTGAGGCTTAGGGCTTTCATTACAGTTATATATGTTAAAGGGAGTATGTATGCGATTTCAGTTAGTTTGCAACGACCCTAGGGTGGTTGTAACCTCCCTGAACGATCAGTTTGTTTGCAACGACCCTAGGGACGTTGCAAAATAACTGCTCGTCCCGGGACGTTGTAACGAAACTAGGGTCGTTGCAACATCCCTAGTTAGTATGCAACGAACCTAGGGTTGTTACAAAATAACTAGGGAGTTTAAGAGTTCATCGAGTCTCGTTTCACAAGAGGGCCGTCAACAATCTTGTCCAATGAAAATCTTGTTCAATCTACATAGTTCAGTTTAAGAGAAAAGGAGAACAAAATTTGAACATTCAGCTCAGGAGTATATGTGGTGCCCGGGACAAGGTACGTAGCTGTGATAATTTTGGCTGCATTATATCGCCAGCATATGCTTACATGTAGAAAATACAGTTACTGGGGTAGATGTGGTGGATATCCGTCGCTATCCGTGTGCGGGTTATACCTCACACTTTTAGGGGTGCTGGTCGGATAAAACCCCTCGTTTTTTTCGCGATTATCTCGCGCTAAAAGCGGCCGATCGTGACGAAACTTTGAGTGTCCTCGAACTTATCTACGTTGCTGGTTACACATTCCTTATACAGTACATGATCCTGAAACCAATGACCTTTGACCCTTGATCTGATTTCTGAGACCATGACAGACCGAAATGATTTGCCGTTTATGTTAGCACACATAAAATTGCGTTTCCAGACTTCTATTGTGATTACATATAAACGTGCCAACATGTGAACTGATGGTTGTCCCACGCATCATGATGGGTTTCAAGTTGACTTGTCAGTTGTCGGCCAGGTCAAGGTCATTGACGTTTGGTGACTTCGGGTGACTGTTTCAAATTTTACGATTTTAAGGATTTTTTTTAAACTTATTTCGAATCCAGCATTCGTTGAGACATCTGAGAAGTACGTATAGTTGTGGTGCCAATGCAACTTGCTACGAAGCTGTCACTGGTGGTTAAGGTACAGCTGCTATAAACAGGTGGTGCGGGTGGGACGCCTACTACTCTACCCAAACTTACCCAACCCAGCCTAGCTTAATCCTCGCCCCCCTAGTTTTTTTCGCGATAGCTCCGAACACGCGAGCAACAGAGAGCTGAAACTAGGCATACCTGACCTTTGATTCAAGCCGGATCTTGTGACACCAACCAGATCTTCAGGTCAGGTCAGGTTACTGACCTATGACGTCATAAGTGGACGGTCCTCAGATGCCTCAACTTCGCAACGCCCTCAGTCCCAGAGGAGCCGGGAATACAGGGGGATGAAACTTACAGATCGTGCATCTTCTAGAAGTCTCACAACTTGTACCTCTAGGAATTTTCCTAAAGAGCACATGAGGTCAGGTCGGTGACCCAGGGTTGGAGATCTGTCAAAATTTCAGGGGGGGGGGGGTCCAGGCGGGGCAGATCGAGGCGGGCTGGATGCAGTACCATTGACTTGCATAGCAGTAATTCGTTTTCAGGGGGGTCCTGACCCCCCCCCCCCCCCCCCCGACCCCCCTCCCCGAGATCTCCACCTCTGGGTCGGTCACGTGATCTCACCACTATAAGTCAATTAAGAAAAATGAAAACTGCTATTCTGGCGCCGGGAACGATCTCAAACTATCTCAAGCACACGGATCGTGATTTCATGCACTCCTTGCAAGGTTAGATGCTTCAATTTTGCATTGTTGACGTTGCGTGATTATGACGTCACTAGGGTCATACGAGCTTTTCGTCAATAACTCCCGATCAAACTGAGCTAGCGAGTCGGTCAAGTCACCAATGGACTGAGGAAGACCTGCCGAATCGAATAATATGCAAATGACCTCCTTTGACCAATTTCACGACCTAGGGGTTTCTGACCTGTATTGACCATCACCGGCACTCCACAACCACTAGTAGCTTTTCCGCGCCGTAAGTCAAGATATAAAACAGTGTGGTATGGTAGGTAATGGAAATAAACAGAGACATTCACTCGCAACATTCAAAACATACATATGTACATTCTAAACCCTACCCCCGCCCCCCGCGGTGTCCCTATTGCACATTGACTTAATACTACGTTGGAAACGCGCTGGATCGATTACATTCGTTGGAAGTTTGTTTAACCTTCCAGGCGGTGGGGGGGGGGCATTTTTTTTGCCCCCCCCCCCTTTAGTTTTTTCGATATATCTCGAGAACCGCTGCGCCGATCGTCACCAAACTTTCAGTACCCTCCCGGGAGTAGCTAGCGCACATGGTGACCAAATTTTTTTCCAAAGGCTATGATAGGTTGGCCGCTAATGACGTCAGAGTGACGTCATTTCTGCCATTTTCGACCCAAAAAAAGGTTTCGCGGGAAGAGCTGTCAGGCCTACAGCTTTAGAGATGCAGAAAAATGTTTCAGACATAAAAGGTGTGGAATCAAAAGGACTATAAAACTGCTATTTCGGTTTTTCGAATTTTTTAGATTTTGACCCACAAAAATCAAAAAATAGATTTTTTGAATATAATAGCCAAAAAATCCAAAAAGTTTTTTGAATTTCGAAAAAAACGGAATATATGTGATAGTCCCTACCGCCTTCTATCTACATACCAAATTTGAGATCAATACCTCTTTTTTTGGCCAAGTTATAGCGAAAAAACTGTTCAAAATTGATGACGTCAAATTTTCAAACTCAATTTTTAGCGATTCTAGACCTCGTAGCGCAAAACAAAGACCATCATTAGACTCCCCGTGACGAGCTGCATCGAATCCATACCTATTTTGTGCAAAATATCAACTTTGAAATTTGATCTTTTGTGACCTGACCTTGGCCTGACCTCCACCAGAAAGTGACCTAAACCGTACCTGATGGTCTTATAACCAACACCATTGAGTTGGAAATGAAAAACTGGCCATAAAACATGCATCGCACAACCTTAGTAAAGTTGGGTTCATGTGGTGACCCTTGGTGACCTTTGGTGACCTGACCTGTGACCTGACCTGGTATGACCAGTGACCTCTAATAGCAACATATGTACTAGACAACTGACGCCTTATCGCTGATTTTCGACAAAATGCGTTTTACTCGGTGTTATAGCGCTTTCCCTAGAAGCCCCGTGAACGGTGAAACATTTTATCTTTGACCTGACCTGTGACGTCATCGATGACCCCGAGGTCAATGAAATTTGGTTTCCTTCGACAAATTTGACAGGGCTATCGAACGATGTTTGAATTTTCCGGATCCGTCCAGTAGTTTCGGAGATACGGGGGGGGCAAAAAATGCCCCCCCCCCCACCGCGCGGAAGGTGGCCGGGAGGCCCACCGCCTGCCGGGTTAAGAGAGATGTTGCGCGATATAAAAAGGAGCGTTGCCCGGCTGCTGTACGAGTAAAAGGGGGCCTAAAATGCCGGTCCTGTCGGGTGCTACGGTCGCATCGCTGTTGGCGCGAGTCACCGAAAGTCACAAAAAGAGATGCGATGTCTTCCGGCTCATCGTAAGTAATCGCCTTATGGGCCACAGCCATCGTAGACATCTCGCACATCTGTCGAGGACCGTGCAGTCCTAGGTCCTCTCGCGCGCGAGACACGTGATCATACTTCCTGAGACCGGTGATCACCCTGGTCGTAAAGTTGATCACGCTATGACCTGACCTTGACCCCAGGTCAACACCTCAAGTTGACCTCATCCAAACAAAAAGTATACCATTCGACGCGCCAGAGCAAGGCGAGCACGTTTATGCTAAAATCGCGCTTTGCAACTGTTTTTTAAAAAGTTATTAATCAAAAACCGAACCCGTGTCTTAGGTCACTTGACCTGACCTCAGAGGTCACCGGTTGACCTGAGACCTTAAAATCGGGTACTAGCTGCTGTCTCCTAACGGCACACACGCTCGTTTTTTCCTCGACGCCCTAACTCCAACAGGGGCGAAAAACGACGAGGGGGTCGTACCAACCCTCCCCCCGGCCGGCGCGTATGTATGTAGAAAACCAACAGGTCCTGCGGGGTTAACTCTCGCCCTTATTGCTGTTTTTCTAGCTGCAAACGCACAGGGCGGGCCTAGGTTATTGGTTGACCTTCCAGGTCAGGCCAGTGACTCAAAAGTCGGGAAAATCGGGACCTATGACCTGTTAAAACTTTGGAGAGTTCGGTTGTTACGAGGTTTTTCGGGGTGCTGATCACGAATTTCATGTTAGCTTTGATCACCGATGATGTCTTGATGCTTTTAGGCCAGGTCGGGTCAGGTCAGGTCAGGTCAACCAGTAGGCGTCTTGCTAGCTGTCCATAATAGGTGTCAACCAACACTGACAGCTTCGTGACATTGTACGAAGGCGCCAAAATTACTTCGTAAATGTTCAAATGGGTGCTTAATTCGAAATCAGCTCCAAAAACTAGCCTAAAAATATATGAACCCAGAAGAAGTGAACTAAGGTCATCAAAGGTCAATGACCTTGACCTGACCTTCACGTGACCTTGACACCCACCATAACGCATGGGACCACCATCATTTCACATATTTGAACGTTTAGCATCACAAAAAGACTGGAAACGAGCGGATAATAGCCGTTTTTACGAAGGGCTTCCTGGCTAATGCCCATCTAATTTGAACAAATCTGCACCTAATGTGCACCTAATCGGCACAAAATGTGTACTAGATGGCCGTCGTGAAATACTCCTGAGTTGAATGTTCAAATTGTGTTCCCCTTTTCTTTTTAACCCGCGCCGGGCCGGTGCTCTGAGATTCCGCGCCGGGCCGGGGGGGTGTCTGAACACCCCCCCCCCCTTCTAACTCGGCTCTTGGGCCACGTAGTGACACGCGGTAAGCGGCAATCGAAAGAACGTCCAAAATAAGGACGAAAACACTTCGGTCATTTTTTGGGTCAGGTCAAAGGTCAGGTCACCAGAGGTCACCAAAGGTAAAATGTTGACTATTTCAACATTTTAGAAACTGCCAAGGGCGATCTCGGGAACCGATAGAGCTACAGCGCCGCGGAAAAGCGCATTCGATAGCCCTTTTACAGACCCTTCTGAGTAATGATCTCAGATTTGACCTCAGGTCAACGGTTTAGCCTCCAGAGGGCAAAAACTCCAAAAATAGCCGTTTTACGAAAAGAGTTTTTTTCGGCCAAAACTTTTGACTAAAAAATGCCATGACATTACTTTTGCCAGCATCGTGTTCCTCTCGTCGAGACGCGTCGAATGAACTATAATTTGACCTTGAAAGGTCAACTTGAAAATTTGACCTCAGGTCAAGGTCATGACCTGACCGGAAAAGGTAATGTTGCATATCAGTCGATCCGCAACGTCGAGCCGAACACATCAAAGGCGTTTTCAGCGCTCTAGCACGCCTCTATCAGAAGTTATTAGCGAAAAACTGTTAGATTCTGTTCGTGATTGAGATGACCTCGGGAACATAACGAGGGGTCACAATTGCCATTTTCCGGTTCAGTGTATCGATTTTACTTACATCTCGATGGTTGAGAGTGTCTAGAATAGCGTTCGTGCAAAACAGACGCTTTTCAGTTTTCTCCCATCGACTTATGTTACAATTCCAAGTCAAAGAGTGTATAAATACACCAGGAGGTTGTATTTTAGTAACCAGAAAACCAGACAAACCAGTTCACTCACCAGAAAACAACGCCCACTGTCAGAGACTCTAGAGCCACCAATCGCCAGCGGAGAAACGGCCGCAGTGCCGGCTCTACCCTTAACCTATATGACAAATGAATCCCGAGAAGATATGTTCGAGGACTACCCCAAAAATGCCGCCCTTCAAGCCGACATGATGTCGGGTACAAAGTGAAATGGTTAAGTTGGTGCGTTGGGTCCAAATCTGTCACAGAGACCGGCAGATCAAACCGATCCCTTAATTTTGCAGACGCATGCATAAACGAGCCTCCTTACCCCGGTAGACAGCCAGGCAGACCGACTACCGATTTTCAGACACCCGTTTATACATGAATCTGTGGATCTGAGTTTCTGAAACGGCCGGGCAGACCGATCCTTCCACTGCGATCCAGCGCCACAACCGGCCGCATCCAAAGCTAGAGCCCAACTCCCCGCACCGCCGCGACCTAACCCGACTACAGCTCGAACCACGTGATTCAACCGGCCAATCCCGAGGCGCGCGTGCCCCTGAACGCAGGCTGTGCCGCAGAGCGGCGCGGCGGCTCTGCTCGGCGGCCGGCTGGCGAGCCCGGCGCCGGCACGGGGTACATGATGCACACAATACACAGAATAAAAGAAAACACTTCTTAGGCTAAAGTAGCAAATCTTAACATCCTCCCCACCAAAATGTGGGAACAAAAAGTTAACACATTTTCCACACTAGTCACAACGCGCGCACAAATCACAAACAAAACACACATCATGGCACTGGCCGCACGCCAACTTGCGGCAGTCCTTGTGGGCCTGGTCAGGCCTTCCGCAGCCGGCCATGGGTCCTTGGACCGGGGGGCCAGCGTCCTCGGCTACGTCCTCTTCTTTCTCCTCTTCCACAGACGTGGGAATGCTGGGAAGTGGGACGGTGCCTCCAGTGGGGCAGTCGTCCTCCAGCTCCGGCTCCACCTCCATCTTGCCCCGTCGTTCCTCCAGCGGCTCCGTAGACGTCGGCTCTTCGGAGGCGGCTGCCGACGGTCTCGCGTCGGAGCCGACAGGCATCGTCGAGACTGCCGGGGTGTTACAGCACTCCATTGGCTCCGGTCCGTCTCGTCCACGGCAGATGATGGGACGAACTCCACAGGAACATGCGAGGAGGGCTTCAGACCCTGACTCCGGGCGACAGCCCAGGAGTCGCGTTTACCAGGCGACAGCCCGGCTCCGCCATCGCCATTTTGTGTTTTGTCATCACTTGACCCATTGACAGAGAGAGTCGTCTCTCCATCCTCGGTAGTCATCGTTTTATGCAGGTCGTCACCGCTCAGGTGAGGCTTTTTTGCATTGAGCAGCTCTTGCTGCGGGGCTCCCGCCTTTGCGGAACCATGATCGGATGGTGAACGCTCATCCCACTGCATCGTCAAATTCATCTCATTGGAACAGCCCACTGGCTTGTCCCAGTGTGGCTCAGGCAGCATGCCATCCACATCCATGGCCTCATTTTGGCCGACCCTCACTTCATCCAGACTCCTCACCTGTCTCAGCTGACAGTGGGAAGACTGGTGACCGGTCGGTATCAGCGAAACGTCGCCGCGGTACCCGTGAATGGCGTAGCCAAAGACAGTCTCTATGGCTCTAAGCCCTTCTTCAAGTTCCACCTGTCCCCACAGCACGATTCGATAAAGATTGTCGAGGCCGATCAATACATGAACTTCGCCACCACCAAAGTCGTCGGCCAGATCCAGACCGGCAGGAACAGGGGGTGGCGAAGAGGTGGGAAGGGGCGAGCACAGCTGATCTGTGCTCCACATGTCAAGATTCAGAGAATAGTCACCAAACAAGCTTCTGAGCTCCACCTGTACCTTGTCGTACGAGCGAGCCACCTCAACCTTCTCTTGAAATCCGAGACAGGCAAAGGTAGCCGTGCCAGTGCTGGGAAGACCGAGTTCCTCTGCCAGCGAGCTCCTGATGTAGGAGGAGTCGGACCCTCCGTCTAGGAGGATACGGACCTTCCGGCTACCCTTGGGTCCCACAGCGTTTACGAGAGCCGTCTGGAAGAAATGTGCTTTCTCATTTGCCGTACTGGCACTGTACCGGTGGCGACTCTGCCCCGTGAGTTCACTTGGGCTGCCATCAGGGCGCGCCACTCTGTCAGTAGGACGTGCTGGAGAGAAAGGTACAGCCCCAGGCGACAGTTCCGACTGGTTGTTGGGTGAATTCGATGGCGAGGGACGATGATTGTGGAGCAGGGGGTGGTGTGGCCCGCCACACTCCGTGCACCGACTGCACTTGCAGTCCCGAACCTGATGTCCATACTTCAGACACCGAAAACACGCCCTCACTGCCTTCACAGTCTCCCAACGGGCTTTCAGATTGAAGGTTTGAAACTTGTCACACCTCTCTAGACCGTGCTGCGCCTGCTGACAAACAGGACACATCACGGTCCTTGGCCCGTGAGGGGGCCTCTGCTTCTCAGAGCCGGGCTCTCGCCGCGCAGTGAGAATGCTTGTGACAGACTGAGTGGAAGCGGACGGGGACACTGGTCGTGTCTGCACCATTGACCCCCCTTTTGCCAATTCTCGGAGCCGTATTTCACGGTTGAGGAAGTGTAGAAATTCCGTAAAATCTCCACTCTCTCTCCTGACCCACTCTAGACGCCAATCCTCAGGGATCTTATCCTTAACGACTGGCAGCAACAGGCTCGAAAAGCTTTCCGGGTGGACACCAAGTGTACTGAGCGCTCGAGTACGCGCAGACAAGTGATCGATCAATGACCGCATGCCTTTAAGGTCGCCGTGTCGAACGGGTTGCAGGTTCAGGAGGTCACGCATCAGCGTCTCCCGCCGCACATCATCCCGTTCAAACCGCTCCTTGAGCGCGGCCACGGCCTGAAGGTAGCCGTCGCTCGACACTGGAATGCCCTCAATGCAGCGCAAAGCATCACCTGCCAGGTGCGATTTCAGAACCACGAATTTCTGGACAAGAGCGTATCCTGAGTTGTTGTGAACAGATATGGCAAACAAGTCCCAGAATTCAGACCACTGCATTACGTCACCATGAAAAATGGGAATTTTCACGGTGAGGGACGTTTTGAAGTCTGCGTTTCCCGCGAAGTTTGAAGCGTCAACCCTGACTGGCGCTTGTTCAGCTTTCTCAAGGCGAGAAAGGAGGCGCGAACCGAGAAACATCTCGTCCTCAAGAATCTGCAAGTGGTTGGTATCATCTGACTGATCCAGCTTATCCAGGTCACCCTGGACACCCTCCATCTCATGGCGCAGCTTCTCCAGGTGGTGAAGCTTGAGGGCAAGCTGGTCAGGATCCACCGTCGTACGATCTGCCTCTCGATACGATCGGAGGTCATTACAAAGTCGGGTCGCCTTTGAGCGGAGTCTGGTTCTGGTCGCCAACAAATCCTCCATGGTTCAAAGCTTGGCCAAATTGTATGCCAAGTATTTAAAGTGGACTGTATCAAACAACTTAGACTACAAAACCAATCCAACCGACTGATAACAACACAGCCGACCGGACCGTGTCAAACAATACTAGACCGGCAAACCAATTCAGCCGACTGATGACAACACAGCCGAATGAACCGTTTCAAAGAATCAGACCGAAACGTCAATCCAACCGACTGATAACAGCACAGCCGATCGAACCGACCATCCGGCCCCAGGAGGACTATGTTACAATTCCAAGTTAAAGAGTGTATAGATACACCAGGAGGATGTATTTTAGTAACCAGAAAACCAGACAAACCAGTTCACTCACCAGAAAACAACGCCCACTGTCAGAGACTCTAGAGCCACCAATTGCCAGCGGAGCAACGGCCGCAGTGCCGGCTCTACCCTTAACCTATATGACGAATGAATCCCGAGAAGATATGCTCGAGGACTACCCCCAAAATGCCGCCCTTCAAGCCGACATGATGTCGGGTACAAAGTGAAATGGTTAAGTTCGTGCGTTGGGTCCAAATCTGTCACAGAGACCGGCAGATCAAACCGATCCCTTAATTTTGCAGACGCATGTATAAACGAGCCTCCTTACCCCGGTAGACAGCCAGGCAGACCGACTACCGATTTTCAGACAGCCGTTTATACATGAATCTGTGGATCTGAGTTTCTGAAACGGCCGGGCAGACCGATCCTTCCACTGCGATCCAGCGACACACCCGGCCGCGTCCAATGCTAGAGCCCAACTCCCCGCACCGCCGCGACCTAACCCGACTACAGCTCGAACCACGTGATTCAACCGGCCAATCCCGAGGCGCGCGTGCCCCTGAACGCAGGCTGTGCCGCAGAGCGGCGCGGCGGCTCTGCTCGGCGGCCGGCTGGCGAGCCCGGCGCCGGCACGGGGTACATGATGCACACAATACACAGAATAAAAGAAAACACTTCTTAGGCTTAAGTAGCAAATCTTAACAACTTATAATGGAGAGGCCGCAAAATTGACCTGACCTTAGGTCACCGATATCAAAATTCCGAGATATACATTTTATAGATAATGTCGCTCTTATCAATCGCTGAAAGTTTCAAGGCAATCGATCAATCGGTGTAGCTATGACGAGCATTCCTATTTTTTCTTAGGTGAGGTTACTTGGCGTGACCTGGTGACCTGACCTTGGGCGACCTGGGCCTGAAATTTTCACAACATGTGCGGAAAAGATGCACGAACAGGTGTGACAAAAACGGCGGCGCTCCGCGCCGCCGTTTTTGAGATATCGGTGAAAAAACCGCAAGGGGGATGTTCAAACACCCCCCGGCCCGGCGCGGGATAAGTCAATGGGAGGAAATTGAAAAGCGTCTGTTTTGCACGAACGCCATTCTAGACACTCTCAAACATCGAGATGCAGGTACAATTGACACACTGAACCGGAAAATGGCAACTGTGACCCCTCGTTATGTTCCCGAGGTCATCTCAGGTTACGAATAGTATCTAACAGTTTTTCGCTAATAACTTCTGATAGAGGCATACTAGAGCGATGAAAACGCCTTAGATGTGTTCAGCTCGACGTTGCGGATCGACTGATATGCAACATGACCTTTTCTGGTCAGGTCATGACCTTGACCTGAGGTCAAATTTTCAAGTTGACCTTTCAAGGTCAAATTATAGTTCATTCGACGCGCTTGAGGAGAGGAACACAATGCTGGCAAAAGAAATGTCGTGGCTCTTTTGAGTCAAAAGGTATTGCCGAAAAAACGCTTTTCGTAAAAACGGCTATTTTTTAGTTTTTGCCCTCTGGAGGCTAAACGGTTGACGTGAGGTCAAATCTGAGGACATAACAGCGAAAGAGTGTTAAAAAAGCTATCGAATGCGCTTTTCCACGGCGCTGTAGCTCTATTGGTTACCGAGTTAGCCGTTGGCAGTTTCCAAAATGTTGAAATAGTCAACATTTTACCTTTGGTGACCTCTGGTGACTTGACCTTTGACCTGACCTAAAAAAATGACTGAAGTGTTTTCGTCCTGGTTTTGGCCTTTCTTTCTAATGCCGCTTACCGCGTGTCGCTACGTGGCCCAGGAGCCGAGTTAGAATGGTGGTGGTGGTGGGGGGGGGGGGTGTTCAGACACCTTCCCCCCGGCCCGGCGAGGATCTCGCGGAGCACCGGCCCGGCGCGGGTTAAATGTCATTAAAATTGTAAATCAGTCCGGTAGTCTCGAGCTGGCATGAGGGTGCCAACGCTTCGCACTCGCACCCCTATGGCGGTTGTTCCTCAACACCTTCACGGTGTGTGGGTGTGCTGGTAATAGCCGTTTTTACGGCGGCCATCTGGTACACATTTGGTGCACATCTGGTGCAGATTAGGTGCAGATTTGGTCAAATTGGGTTCAGTGTGTCTCTTAGTAGCTATCAGCTAGGGTTGCACTAATTGCTTATATGCCTGTTTTGTCATTTTATTAGAGAGTATCATCGGTTAAAACACCTAAATAAATACATAAAATAAAGATATTTGCTTTAAAAGAGATTAGGTGCAGATTTGGTCAAATTAGGTGCACTCGCCGGATAGCCCGTCGTGAAAACGGCTAATGACGCGACCTTCTTACATCCACACAGATGTGGGAATGGTGGGAATTTTTTGCCATCTGCTCGACCTGTTACTGCCTGTGTGACGACGACACCTACTCGGCTCGCTACTTCAGCCTGCTGCCCGCAACGGCCGACGTCGCCCACAACAAGATCGTCACAGGGGTCAGGTGAGGTCACGGCTAGGTCAGCTGCAATGCTACAGGTCACCGGTAGGCCCGGCTTATTAAAGCGCACTAGTCACTAGCGAGGCGCCAAACTAGTACCTCGACCAAAAGGTTCTGCGTCTACGTTGCCTGCGACGCGCTATTGTATGTACCGTGGTTCACACGATTCCGCCTGTGAAAAAGCAAATATTTTTCCATCGATATTCCCTATAAAGCGCTGCAGATATCACCACCAAACTTTCATGACCCCTCCGGGCATCAATTTTACATCTTGCGGCGAATTTTTTTTCAGAGCCGGTGACAGGTTTGCCAAAGTGACGTCAGAGTGACGTCATGTTCTGCCATTCTCGACAAAAAGGTTTTGCGGGAAGAGTTGCCACGCCTACAATTTTGAACGATAAAGAAAAATGTTTAACCCCAAAAGGTGTGTGTAGAATTAATAAGGGTAAAATACCTACTGCTAGCTCGTTTTTTTTTTTTTACAAAATTTGAATTTTGACCCTGAATCCAACAAGTGTTTTTTATACAATACTCTTAAAGTTAAGATACAATAATTTTTCAAAATTTTGAAAAACAATAGTTATAGAGGTCCCCCATCTACATCCCAAATTTCAGCTCAATAGCTCAATGTTTGACAACGCTTTGACGAAAGAGCTGCATAAAATTGATGTCAAATTTTCAAACTCAATTTTTAGCCGTTCTAAACCACAAGGTCGCCGTCCACTGGTTATACGCGTATTCAGTGCGTAATTGTTCAGCGCCTAGTGCGCGCTTAAAGGGACCATCCCACCTTAACATTAGTTTTGAGCTGAGATAGCCAAACTGGGGTCCCTGGCTTGCACTTACCGGTTTGAGCACTCACAACATCGAGAAATGTCTCAAATCAAAAATATCTAATTTCAAAGTTGCAGCACTTTGGATTCAGAGGGGCTAATGCATTTGAATGCCCCCTCCGGATGTGTGACGTCAGCGCAGATCTAACGATTTTTAAATGTTTGACTAAAACGTTTGATAGCACGCGGTGGTATCTGCTGCTTTGCGCGCAACAAGTGCCGCACTTTCAGCTTCCAAACTATTGCTTCCAAATAAAGTCGCTAGGAACAGCGGAGATCCCAAAAAGTAAACAAAAGTAGGTAAAAGTTTAATATCTTGAAAACCGGTGAATATTTTTAGGTGAAATTTGGTAGATATTCGTTTTCGCTCTTTCTGAACCGAACGACATCACTTTCATGCCAATTCATTAACCCTCGCCCCGCTGGGGTATTCAGCCCTACGCGCCCCGCTAGGGGGGGGGGTGGCGATTCTGCCCCCCCCCCCTGCCTAACTTCCGAACGGAGGGTCATAGAGAGACGGGGAAAGCGGCGAACGAAAGGTCTCAACGAGACCGATCTTAAGAGCACCAAAAAATTTGCTTAAGTAGGTAAAAAGTCAGGTCAAAGTCAGGTCAAAGGTCAAAATGACAGGTTTTCACAGCATTGGCGTCTGAGCCCAGTTGGTGAAGAGGCGATTGACGGCGCTTACCCAGAACGCATCCTTAGGGTAGAGAGACGATGTGCTTTACTTAAAACGTCATGCAAAGTTCAAGATCAAGGTCAGGTCAGGTCAAGAAAGGTCATCACAAAGTAGCCACTGAACGGGCTATGTGCGACACATGTTTTATGAGTCATTTTGCCCATAGAATGCAATGGCGATACTCACTTAATGATTTGGATCACAGTTGAACGAAGTTCAGGTCTAGGTCCAACGGTGGTAGTTTTGTTGTCGTATGTGGTCTAGAACTTCTAAAATTTGCAATAAAAAATTTTGTCATGTGTTATTTTGGCGGTTTTTTGGCCATTCTGTGACCAAAAATTGACGGATTGCCTCAAAATTTTGTATGAGCATAGTGAATACTGGTCTCCATAACATAGGGTAAGGTGCCTAATTAGCGACCCTTTCCTATTTGCGACCTACCTCCCTACAGACAAACTGGCAAGAGAAATTGGGGTAAAAACATTGTCAAAAGGTCTGCCATACTTTGGTTATCAAACTTAATTCTTTTCCGGTGGTCGGTGTTTCTGGTGGGACATTTTAGAAGAGTTTAAATAAAAAATGGCCAGTTTCTTATCCAAAACGTGTGTATTTGGGCCCCGTATGATGAAAAGTGATGCACATTATGATGATGCACCTTTTTTGTTCTGAATCGACAATCCTTTTTTCAAATGGTTGCCGCTTTCCCGGACGATAGGCGTTATCACAAGTGTATTCGCGGCCATTGGGGCGACGTAAGAAAAGAAGAAAACAACTGGCCCCAAGAACTTTAAATTATCAGTTAGCATGCACCTTTTCCTTGATGTGTAGATAATTTACCATTAATTGTTAGAGAAAATTGCATTTAAAATTTTCCAATTATGCTTTTTTCATCGTTTGCACAATATGTTCTTTTACTAAGCTAGAAACACTAATTAGAAATAGTTCCCGCATCATCGTCAAGAACAAAAGGGAATGCTTGAAGTTAATACAATAATCTAAACGGTTTTGTAATCTATGTGGAGACACTTCTAAAATTGCCAGTAGAAATATTGAAGGCAAAAGTTCAACTTTTTCACAAGACTGATGTCTATAAACCTATTCAACGTGTGACAACTCAGCCGGTATTTCGTCGCCTACAGCCCAGCTTTCCCTAGTGACCGATAGAGGCGCTGCTATCGATGTCCGCCCGTGCCGCCAAACGAGTGAATCGCTGAACTGTGCACTGCATGGTGATTAAAAACGTGTCGCAACCCATATTTCCTATTTGCGCCCGACATGGTCGCAAATAGCTCAAGAAGGGAAAGAAATGGGAAAAGAGGGAAATGAAAATGAGCTATTGAGTATTGCTGAAGCTTGCGATGTGTACTGGGGGATGCCAAATGTCGACTGTCGTCACCGACTGCAGGGGTGCTGAATCCAGCGCGGGCCTCGAATATCATTCGAGATAGCCCACAAAATTTGAGTTTTCGCCTTATTTTCGCCTTTGGTGCATCACGTGCTCGGTTGTCACCTACATAAATGTAGTGGATAAACGTTCCTGTTCCAGTGATTGAGTGCTTTACGTATAGGGTACCTTTTTGGGATCATATTTCATCTTTTCAGGCGTCGCATTTTATGCCATTTTTATTATGGGAAAACCCATAGACTTATTAGCGACCCTCTGTCGCTAATCGGGACGAGTTCCCTATTAGCGTTTTTTTTTGCAATGGTTTGCCAAAATGCTCACTACAAATAAACCAGTATAACGCCTTTTGGGGCGACTAACGGAGCGAGCGAGAGGGTGGGCCTTGCACGTGCGAAATTGCGAGGGGGTACCTCCAACTGACTTGTGCACGGCACCCTACTAATTGGTCTCTAGCGATGTGCCAAATTTGGGCACAATCGGCCCAGCCGTTCTCGAGATCTGGAAACGACCCCTGCACGTGCGCACGTGCAGCAGCGCCCCAACTCTGGCACATGTATATGCAGTGCCTAGTGGGTGCCTACCTACATGCCAACTTTCAGCGCAATCGGCCAAGTAGTTACCGAGATATTGCAACAATTACAAAAGTGACACCTCTTCGTTTTGCACGTGGCACGTGCATAAGGGGTCACCCACATGCATCGGGAATAGTCCAATACTTGGTAGAAGGAATGAAGCTACCCTACAAAAATTACCGCGTGTAAATCGGTCAAGTGGTTGCTGAGATATAAGCCTCGCAAAAGCGTGACCACGGCCGGCCGGCCGCTCATACTCAGAAATTTCCGTTAATCTAAGGAAAGACTACGCTCGCTTCGCTCGCTCCGTAATTAGTAGATATTGGGGCAGAAAATGAATAGATTTTAATAGAAAAATGAACGATCTCTTCGAAAATCAAGCCGGTAACACAGTGGCACCCATAGTGTGTGAGCAATGACGGTTCAAATCAGGGCTGCGGAGTCGGAGTCGGAGTCGGAGTCGGAGTCGGTCGGAGTCGACAGTTGTGACCGGAGTCGGAGTCGGAGTCGGAGTCGATTTTAGAAATCCGAGCCGGAGTCGGAGTCGGAGTCACCGAAAATCTGTCGACTCCGCAGCCCTGCTAGGTCTGCGGAGTCGGAGTCGGGAGTTGGAGTCGGTCGGAGTCGACAATTCTTCCCGGAGTCGGAGTCGGAGTCGGAGCTGGTTTTTGAAAGCCGGAGTCGGAGTCGGAGTCGGAGTCGCCGAAAATCCATCGACTCCGCAGCCCTGGTTCAAATTAAGAGGGTCACTAATTAGGCACCTTACCTATATTCCGGTTTTTTTTTAAATTCAAAAAACTTTTTGGTTTTTTATAGTTTTTTTCTAAAAAACAGTTTCTTTGAAAATTTTGGAGTCAAAAACTCAAAATTTTGAAAATCTAAGATAGCCATTTTGTAGCGCGCTTTATTTAACATACTTGTTTTTTCGGGCGGTTTGCTTTAAAAATGTAATTTTGGTGAATTTATAAACATTTAGACAATTTTGACCAAAAATGGCATGTAGTGACGTCACAAAAACACCATTTTTAGTCAAACATTTCTAAAGGGATTTCAATGAAACTTGCTCAGTCGATGTCAAATTGATGTAGGATAAGGTACCCCAAAATTTGTGGCGATATCTGCAACGGTTTTGGAGTTATCACGAAAATCCAGGGGGCAGAATCTACCCCCCCCCCCCCCAGTGGGGCGCGGGATAATTTTTTGGAGGTGGGAGCCGGAGGGTCCCTTTAAAAGGTGAAATATTTCAACTCTTCAGAGTTCAGCGCGTGATTTGGCGCCGAACAGCCGCTGAATAATCAGCTGACTGCACTTCATCGCGCATTAGGCGCTGAACCGCAGTCGGCGCGCAGCCCATAGACTAGATGTTAACCCGCGCCCCGTAGGGGGGGGGGGCGGCCCCTCCCTGTCCTTTTTCGTAGATATCTCCTAAACGACTGCAGATGTCGTCACCAAGCTTTCAGGACCCCTCCGGGCATCAATTTTACACATTGTCACCAAAAACTTTTACACAGGCT